AATCCAGAACTGAGTTTAATATCATTTATCACAAGTATTATTTTTATCGCAGTATTCAGCTGTGTTTTCGCATTGTTCTATATATTGTGCAGCCCTAATGTTTATGATGATTTAGGGACTTGTGTTTTTTCTTGCTACAGCATTAAAAAATATCCCGTAGTTTAACAAAAAGCTCTATTTTCTTCTCACCAATTCCACCGAAATAAGAACTTTTTCTGAGTGACAAACCACACAGCCCGCTCGGGGCAACTCTCTGTCTCAGCAGCAATTTGGATTCATTGTCTGCAACCCCAGATAACTGTGGTGGTACTCTTCTTTAGTCTCAGCCATTTGCGGGGATGGGCCAGACATTTTAAAGTGGTCTAATGCCATAGAGAGGTGGAGGTAGTGCGGTGGGGATGAGCAGATTGAGAGTGAGAGGTGAAAAGAACAAAAGGAAATGAATGGAGTTAGAGAGGACCCCCCTTGCAGGTCTTCCATCGTGTCCCCTGTCTCATTACCCAGGCTTTGACTCAATAAAGAGTGGATAAAGAGTGGATAAAGTGGCACATACCCACAGGCTAACCCCCCTTTAAAATACCTTTCACCAACGTCACTCTCTGCCTCTCTTGCACACACACATCCAAAAATACACGCACAGTCCCCTTTCTATTCTGCGGTGTGTTCTTTTAAAACATCTTTGAATCTATCTTTTCTCCACAGCTTTTTTTTAGCCTAACTTTTAAAAAGTTGTGTCCATCTCCCTGCTCTCTCATTCACAGTCTGTGTCTACCCTCTCTGTCCTCTGTGTTCCCTCCCTGTCGGTGCTGTGTAATAGGAGTTATTTTCATCCCTGTCTCTCCGTGACTGTGGCTGCTGGTTGGCTGAATATTTACATTTTTCACTCACTGGTGACCTTTCCCTGTTGCCGCTCTGGGAGCTCCAGTCTCCTTGCTGCTCTGCTGTTGACAGACTACTGCCTGCAAATCTCATATGGACACAGCAAATGGTACACAGGGAGTCAGGGACAGAGGGTTCAGAGACTGGAGAAAGGTGGAGAAGGGAAGAAAGAGACTGTTTTAACCAGAGCTGAGTGTTTGAATGAAATTGGCTTGAGGGGACAGGTGTTGAAGGTCTATCTGCATCTGTAGGGGTCTGCCCTGAAGTGGTCTAATCTGATACCTCTGATGTCATGGTGCATTCCTCTCAGCACAGATGTTCTGCAATAAACCGTCTGAAAAGAGATGGAAATCTGGGGTTCCAGGAAATCTCAGTGTCAAAGAATACACTAGGTTGTGAGTAAATGTTTTTTGTTGCACAGCAGAAGGTTTTCTTAATTTTTGGAATCAGAGGAATCTTCACAGCTGGTACCTGTGAGACATGTAGGAGATCTACGGAGCAGAGTGCGAGACAGAGTTGAAGGGCCAGGGATTCAACAACACAGTTGTTCTTAGCTGATGCTCCGCAGTAACAGGACAACAAAAAGTCAGTGAACTCCTCAAAGTGTTATGAGTGTTTATTTGAGTGTGCTAAAACAGGCAGAGGGAGAGTGAAAAGAGGGCTGTAGTTTAAAAAAAGCCGGTGACCCTGGTTGACCCAAGCCCTCTGCATTATTCACCTTCTGTGTGTAAACATGTTTTTACTTCCCAGTGGTGTTCCTCCTTTAGGACTGAACTCAACCAAAGGAAAGGGTTCACTTTTAAAAATAAACCGGAATTCCCATTATGTACCTTTTTAGAGTAATTCATCAAAGCTTCTTGTCCATACTGGCCGTGTATAGATATTTTACTAACGCAATACCAATGTAGGGAGACAACATTCACATTCCTCTTTCTGTACTATAAGGCTAAAATCAGGAATCAGACGTGAAAAGATTAAAGAGGCCTTTTTAAAGGTCCCCTGGCCTATTATACTGTTTTACATTACTTTATTATAGGTCTCAGATATATACAAAACATGTCTCTGAAGTGTTTGGCTCCAAATCCCAAACAGATCATTGCAGCATCCCATAATCCCCTCTGTTTCAGCCCTGTTTCAAAAGTGCTGATTCTCTGTCTGTTACTTCAGATGAAAATAAGGAGCCCCTCCCCACGCCCCTCTGAGAGATATTTGGTTAAAAAGAACTCAATGGTGCTCTAGGAGGAGATTCAGGTGACAAGGTGGGGGGGGTTACCTTGGTTGGTGATTGGCTAATGGTTACACAAGCCAACAAAATCATTATGACATCATAAAGTGGCCAAAATCTGATCAGCTCACTTTCAGACAGGTTTTTATAGAAATGGATCAGGACAAAAAGAGAGGGGGTCTTTGTTCCTGAAACGTTCAGAATCTCTTTACACAGAGGGGACACATGTTGATGTATAAAAGTGGATTTTGCATAATTGGTGACTTTTAAGCCTTTTGGGGTTTTCCCTTTCCTGTAGTGTGTTATATAAGTTCCCTACATAGGGAGTTTCTCTTCCACACACCCTGCCTGAAACGCCTCCATTGGATTCCTTTGTTTACTTCTGTAACACAGTGACATCACAATGTGAGACTTGTACTTCTGTTGTTCAGTGCTCAACACATTGTAAGTGATAGGCTATGGGGCTGGACATCTCTGGGCGGTTGAACAATAGGGCCCCTTTAAAAGAAGAAATGTTCATACCAGAAAGAGTCGAAGTTGCACACTTAAAGGTGGGGTAGGTTGCACAAATGATTTCTAAACCTCCCTCAGTTAAAGGTGGGGTAGGTAGTTTTGTAATTCCATGGAATATAACAAAAAGGTTAACTCGAGCCGGTTTCTCAAACTTACCTACCCCACCTTTAAGTGTGCAACTTCGACTCTTTCTGGTATGAACATTTCTTCTTTTAAAGGGGCCCTATTGTTCAACCGCCCAGAGATGTCCAGCCCNAGGGATTATATCTCTTCGCTGGCCTGGGAGCGCCTTGGGACCCCCCAGTCAGAGCTGGTTGATGTGGCCAGGGAAAAGAACGTTTGGGGCTCTTTGCTGGAACTGCTACCTCTGCGACTCGACCACGGATAAGCGGNAGGACAAAAAGAGAGGGGGTCTTTGTTCCTGAAACGTTCAGAATCTCTTTACACAGAGGGGACACATGTTGATGTATAAAAGTGGATTTTGCATAATTGGTGACTTTTAAGCCTTTTGGGGTTTTCCCTTTCCTGTAGTGTGTTATATAAGTTCCCTACATAGGGAGTTTCTCTTCCACACACCCTGCCTGAAACGCCTCCATTGGATTCCTTTGTTTACTTCTGTAACACAGTGACATCACAATGTGAGACTTGTACTTCTGTTGTTCAGTGCTCAACACATTGTAAGTGATAGGCTATGGGGCTGGACATCTCTGGGCGGTTGAACAATAGGGCCCCTTTAAAAGAAGAAATGTTCATACCAGAAAGAGTCGAAGTTGCACACTTAAAGGTGGGGTAGGTAAGTTTGAGAAACCGGCTCGAGTTAACCTTTTTGTTATATTCCATGGAATTACAAAACTACCTACCCCACCTTTAACTGAGGGAGGTTTAGAAATCATTTGTGCAAATAAGAAAGACTGTGGATTTGTAAATCATCGCTTGCATTCAAATGATGTTAGAAGAGAATTTCTTCTTGGCCAGTATTGACAGGAGGAATGATTACAGCATCCAGTATTGCAATGCACATATGGGAATGTCAGTATTGTATTAAGATAGACTTGGAAGATATGTGAACCCATTCCATAAGGGAGCTCCTCATGCAACCACAAAATGACTACAGAAAATCAACACAAGATTTCCCTGAGAGTTTACAAATGGAAGCAGATTAGAGATGATCTGACGCCTCACCAGAACAAGAGCTTCTTCTGATCATTCTCCAGGTCTAAACATGAACCACCGTGTTGTGTGTTATTTACAGACTGAGGATGATATACTCCACACACCATTGTTTCTTTTGATTTCATTATTGAGAGTTTTTAACAATACACTGTACCTCTAATCCTTTGGGTAAAAAAAAGAGGAAATAACCTGAGAAGCTATGCTGATAGAACTCAGAACAGAAAGGAAACGACAAGCTTTCAGTCAGCTCGTGTTGTTACTACTGCCTGTGACACACACAGAGCCAACAGAGAAAGCGGGAGAGACATAAAATGTTGTTGTTTGAAAGCTTTTGTTTGCTGTGGGAACACTCTAATTATTTTGATTAGTATTTAAACATTGTTGAGGCCAGTTTTTCCCTTTTGCCTTTTCCCAACCGGCCTACTCTCCTCTTTTGCTAGCAGACATTGTGAGGGGGGTTGGTTAGACAACAAATTAATTTGCCTTCTGGGTCTATTTAGTACAGCAGGGATGTTGTGACTCAACAGTTTTGTCTACAGAAAATACAACTTAGAGAAATGTAGCAGGCAGCATTGTTGCCAAAGCGTATCTATCCCAAATACACAGAACGACAGATAGGTAGACAAAAATAGCAGCAGCTTCACACACCCTTATTCTCTGCATGTGTGCTTTATGCACCGTTAAAATGGTGTGTGTGTGAATGGATGTACGTATCAGGCACCTTCGAACAATAATAGCTGCCATGCTAAATGAGAATGATGAGATGTACGGGGGGGTGATCAAAGGAATACTATTTACAACCACTCTCATCCTGCAGACTTGACGATCCACTGTAAGCACACTCTACTGTACAGGGAACGTCTTCCATCACGCTTTTACTGCCCATCACCGCAGCTGTTAGACAGGGGAGATGGCAAAGCTTTTAGCAAACTGAGATACCGCCCTCGTGCTGGACGGCGTGTATGGGCAATGCCATCAGAAAAGTGAATGACTGGGAGAGATAAGGGAAATGGAGGCTGAGGAGAGAAAGGAGATGAGAGAGAGGGAGGTGGAGGGGGGATAGGTTGATGTCTGCCTGCCGGCTGTCAAAGGTAAATGCTTCAGTTAAATGGAAACTGATATCACGCAATTCATTCAAGTTCTTGTGGAGAGTTTGAGAGTAAAACTCAGTGTCCTTAACTGTGGAGAAAAGAGAAAAAGGAGGTCTTACCTGGAGCAGCCAGTAGCACCTGCGGTGGAAGGTGGGGATGATGGAGGAGTGGACGTAGCAGCCATACAGACACTGGAAGAAAAGAAGACAAGGGAGGACATTAGACTAGAGTACAGACACCAGGCTGACAGTGGTGTAAAGTAACTAAGTACATTTACTCAAGCACTGTACTTCAGTACCATCATGAGGTACTTTCTTGTGATTTTCAAGTTTTTGCTACTTTGTGCTTCTACACCACTATTTTCTGAGGTAAATCGTGTACTTTTGCTGCACTAAGTTTATTTAGTACCTTTAGTTACTTTGCAGACTTTGATTAATAATGTGAAATATAATCAATACTTCAATTAGTTACAACTAGAGTAAATCCAAAAGCTCGTAACAGAGTATTCCTACACTGTAGTAGTTCTATTTTTACCTAAGTACAATACCTAAGAGATCTACTTCTTCCACCTCTGCAGGTGGAGCAGGACAGCTGTGACCTAGTGTCCCACATTGACCTGCTGCCAGATGGTCAAGCTATTGTTCTTGGAAACAAAGACTGTGACCTGGAAGCAGGAAGTGGAGGGGGTTAACCGGTGAGCCCCTCAGCACCGTTCTCCCAGCATCCCCACATGACTCCTTCCTTCCCGCATGGAGAGAGCCCCTGACAGAATGATTCAGGTGCTACAGAGTCCGACCCCCCCCCTCCATCACCCCAAAGGGCACCCCTGCACATAACTAAAGCACAGTGTTATTAATATCCTTATCGTAAACAGATAATACTGGGCCTGGGGGCTCGTTACCCTGGATAGCGCTAGAAAGGGCCGATAACGCCTCCCGGTATCTGGCAGAGTGGCCAGGAGACATTTTTCACCAGCCGGCAGCAGAGGCAAACGCAACAAAGCACCGTGCAGCGAGGAACAGGAGCAAGGCAGCACTTATCCTCCTCCTCAATCCTTCTCCCGGAGACCCTGGGCCCCAGCTCCCAGGTGACCCAGAGGGATTGCTAGCCTGCTCTTGCTTGTTTACAGCCGCAACAAGAATCTACAGCACTCTCCCCCAAACCCCAAACCCCCACCTTATATAGGAAATAGGCTGTCATCTTTGTGCGATACAATATTTGAGAACAGTGAGGGTAGGGTGGATTGCACTTAAGAAAGGGAGCTGGGCTCTTCGAGGAATAAATCAAACAAGCAGGTCGGAGGGTTGAGCTTCACTCCAATCCACTTTGGTATAACTGTTTGTTGAGAAATGAGGAGAAATAAAAGCTGGAGTGATACACGCACTGTTAGCGAGAGGGTGTGCATGTACAGTCATGACAAAGGTTCATTATTCTGAAGCTCAATAAGTTAAGGCGCTTTTCCTTTCGCACTGTGAACTGGTTAGGAGGTTGGAAACGGTGCAGGAATGGGGGAAGGGAATAGGGATGGAGGGCACCGGGCCATTGGGCTACATTGCTTTGAGGACCATGTGATGACTATGTGCCTCGAGATGTGTTATGTGCCAGTCTTGTTTACCTAAAGCCTAGTTAAAAAGAGCAGAGCCTGCAGTCTGTATAAAACACCCACATCAAACTGCCTGATTAATGTCACAAGATATCCACTGCACAGCTCCACACTGGGCACATGGTGAGAAACACATTACAGAGGTAAAAAAGAACAAATCACACAGTATATGTATGGCTGTGCGTTCAAATACATTCACAGACATCTTACGACCAATTTCAAAAAACAACAAAAGTCACATCGGCTTCGACTCTTTCTCCAGGTGTTCCATTGTTCCGGTTGCATCTTTTGTGAACCGGTTTCTATGCTTCCAAACTCTGCGTGTGAGTTTGAGATAGTGAGAGCATGCAGACTTCGTCCCGTTCTTATTTTTTTGCTGTAGACTCATCCATTACAGCTGTCTGAAATAGGATGTATGCCTCCTCCCTCTCCCATAGCTCTACCATCCATTACTCCAAGCTGGCAACGGACAGACTCTGCCTCCCACTCCCACAGCACACTGAACATCACATTACTACAGTGAACTAAAACGGCTAGCAGCTCACACATTTCTCCTGTGCGGTTTTGCAGTTATTTGTGTCATAAACTATACTTTGTGCATTTTAGGGGGGGAAATAGGCAGTTGTGATGCAATATGTTATCGGCTTATAAGGCATTGAACTGTTTATGCTGTTGCAATATTTTTGTGAAAGATGCTTACAAACAGAAATGCTGACATTCTGCCAATTCAATATTTGACTTTAAAAGCTAAACACAGATAAAACAGTACCTTTTTTGTAAGATCACTTTTTGGGGCTTCGTGCCTTTAAATAATAGCAGCCCTAGAGATGAAGGGGGAGAAAGAGGGGATGACATATACCCACCCTTCATAACTCAGGCTTCCCGCTCTGTTTTCACTGCCAGAGAAAATGCCAGATTTTTTAATATGCTACTTATGTGCTAAATAAACTGGCTGTCTTGTTAATTCTGATTACTAAGAGTTTATTGATATATCATGGTTAATGCGGCTCTAGCCTAAAGCGCTTGGCCCACTATGAGTGTGCCGTGGTGGCTGTGTGCAGCTGGATGAGGCGATGGCATGTTCCTCACGATTGACAGGTGGGCCAGTGCAACAGGCCTCTGTGACTAGTGCCACTGGAGGTTGAATAAATTAGCCCCCAGGCTGCTTTCCCCTCCCTCTGTTTACTCCATTTCTCAACCACACCAAGCAGCGTGCCAGACAAACAAGCAGCTTAAAGCATAACACAACTGTTGCACCCGTCAGTAACGTTATACAGTAGGCTTCAAACTCACATACACACACATAAACGTAATCTTGTGCACCCTCACCCTTCCATCCAGCTACCACCCACTCACACATACACACAGAATTAGACAATGAGTTTTTAAGCACTAAACTACACTCACTCAGTAACACAGAAATATTAAAAGAACCTCACATACATACTTTCACACTCATGCAGGCCCCCTTACTGTATGTACACAGACAATAATAATAGACCGAGATAGAAAGGTTGGCCGAGACTCTTTTGATAGCACAAGCACGCCCACATACACAAAGCTCATCACACTCCAGCGCTTATCAGTAATTCAAGACGCATATCAGTTACTGGTGTTTCTGCTGCTCTCTGCATGCTGAGCGTCTGGGTGACAGAGTGACGACAGCAGAACCATTATTTGCTGTCTTTGGGCTGTGACAGATGACAGCACATCACAGGGCAAGCAATTAAACTGTAATTATAGACACATACAGACATATTCTCTCATTAAAAGTGCAGATTCCCAGTGTGTAATTTTGAAGTGCCGACACAAAAACTGCGAAAAACAAACAAATAGGTGTGCCGAGTATGCACACATACACAAACATTACCAGATGTGAAATTGTTATTGGTCTAATGTTTGGGGTGCAAATGAGACACAATTGAACAACGACACACAACGGTTTATAGGAGTATTCACAGGGAGCCATAATGTATTCATGCGCTGTCACTGCAGACAGCAGGAAAAGAGAGTTACAGCGACGTGTGTCCTCCAAAGTCAGACACTGATGCAGCAAATTCATTTGGTGTTGTCACTCAAGCGAGCGGCCAAGGCAATGAAACTCTTGCTCTGCCCAATGAGAGGGTATTATCGTCTGGCCTGAACACGCCCCCACTTGGGGTCTTAAAGCGGTCCTGAGTGGAGCCCGATCGCAGATCACACGGGGCCAGCAGGCCAGACAGCGCAGTGATAAACAGTTTGGCCTAAATAAAGCCTTCACATAAAGGCAGGGCCACCACCGGTACCTGTCCTGCCTCGAGAGGCCACCGCTGCCCCTGGCCTGCCAGTTGCCTGCCAGTTGCCCTGGCGACACCTCACTTACATTCATCCATCATTGATGACAGGTGTCAGGCACAGCTAGATGGGTTAGCAAAATGCAAAAAGTCTGTGGTGGCAAAACTGGCAAACAGACATGCCGTTATAGTGAGGCTGAGAGAGAGGGGAAACTCTCTCATTAAAACCATAATGATGTGTGAAGACAGTCCTAATTAGAGCGTGGCACCTTATTTATGTTGGCAACTTGCTGTTTTCTTGCAGTGATGCAAACGTCTTACTGTCAGTTTGTCTGATATCTGTCAACACACATGCACAAACACACGCAGCAATACGGTGCATGCATGGGCAACATGCCTGGCATTTTGAATCCACTTTTCCTTATTTTTTAAATGACACCCTACCTGCCTAGACCCCAGTTAAAGTCAATCATAGTACCAGGAAAAATAGATAGTTCTCTCATTAAATCATGAATGACTTGTGTGTCCATTAACGATTCCTTATCTAACGTTTGTTCTCACATTTCATCACCCTGTATATAAATAATCTAAAGTCTGATCTCATATAAAGGTTTCAACACTCGCTGTATTGAGTGGCTTGCTTTGCACTATTATAAAGTTGTCGACATGGACATCCAACTGGTAAAGTCACGTCTGGCTCACTGCTTCATTAGAGGGAACGCATCATTTTCAGTGTGTGTACTACTGTTTGTGCATGTTTTTATATGTCTGTTCACATGAACGCCCAGGGCAGGTGATTCAGCCCGGGGCGCAGCAGCATAAAGAGTTCAGGCAGCAGCCAATCAGGCCGTACTATCAAACCCCATCCGAGCAGGGAGCGCAAAATCCATACTCAATAGAGATTCATGGACCATGCAAGATTCAAGCTACTCTGGTCATTGACAGCATCCATGATGACTATTGATCAACCAGCGATTTCTGGCTCTATACAGACGTGATTAGATGACGTACGGCTGAAAAGTGCCACTTCCAGTTTGGAGGATGAGCTCATTTTCGACTGATACCAAAATGCTCTGCGTTTCACCTGCTGCCTTTACAGTCAGCCGCTCTGCTCTGCTCTCTCCAATCGTTCAGCGGGAATCTAATTATCTGTAGTGTCTGGTAAGGTGGCACTATGCCCAGAATGCCCATAATACAAACTATCTCTTGTGCATTTTTTGGATTTAAACAGAAAAGCACAGCTCCTGTATGGCTGGCACAATGACTGGGGCTTTGTTGCCAGCCTTTGCTTTTTCTATTAAGATTCCTCTTCTTT